TTTTTAAAATTTCTGCAACAACTTTTTTTTATAAATTATTTTTCTGTAATAACTTTTTTAAAATTTCTGCAACAACTTTTTTTTATAAATTATTTTTCTGGAATACCTTTTATTTTTTTAGATATTTTTTTCTGCAATACCTTTTTGTTTAAATATGTTATCTTTCTGTAATAACATTATAACATTTCTGCAATAACTTTTAAAAATAAATTAGTTTTCTGTAATACCTTTTATTTTTTGTAATAAATTATTTTTCTGTAATAAAGTTTATTTTTTGTAACAAACTATTTTCCTGTACTATCTAGTATTTTCTGTACTGTCTGTCTCGTGCTGCTCCTCAGGAGCTTCCAAACAGCCTCCTGTTGGTTCTGTTGGTTCTGTTGTGTCCTGCAGCAGGACTTCGGACCAACCTTTGACGTTGCAGGTCTCGTTGGGAGGCATCGCCAGCACCTTGTCTCCCGTCTGGATGTAACCGGCCTCTATCTTCCCGGTGACACAGAACCCTGAACCCTGATCTGCAACGACAACGACGTGGTCAGCGCCTCACCAACAGAACCGAGTCAAAGCGGGTCCGGGCGGTTTTACCTTTGAACACGTCGGAGACGCAGAGTCTGAAGGGCTTGTCGACGGACCTCTGAGGGGCCTTGAACGCATCTTTACGGGGAAGCACAGCAGAAGGAGGAGAAGAGGAAGTAAACAAAGAGGAGTAAACATGTGGAGAAGCGTGATTCATGTTCTCTGGTAGCCGAGTCAGCCCGGTGACTGGCAGCTCCAGACTTCCAGCCTTGAGTCACGCTGCTCGAAAAGACTTTCACTCGTCTGATCGGAAGACAGCTGGAGAAGTTCTGACTTCTGTCTGTGGCAAAACCTGGAACGTCTAATATTAACACGACTTTCACTGTCTTCACTTTCTGGTAGTTCTTTGAAACGTGAAATAAGAAAAATAAAGTCAGAAATGTCTCATAAACTGATGCAACAAAGGACCAGACAGTGATTAAAATGACCATGAACTCTATCTGCAGTCAGGTTTATCGTGTTTTTAATATGTTTTTAACCTGCTGCTGTTAAAACCTGCAGATCAGCAGCTTGATGACGGTTAATTACACTGGATTCATTAGTTTAGTCCACACAGGAAACAAACAAACAAATCTGTAAATAAACAGAGAAAACGGGCCAGAAAAACTACATTACTGCGTCTGATTTGAGTAAAATTACAAATTAAAATAAAACTACAGATGTTTCATGTTATTTACAGTTTTGGCCTTTTTCTTTTCTTTTTTTCCTGCAGTCAACATATAAATTGATAAATGTGACTTTATGAGATATTAAAGTATTTTTTTCTTTCTAAATTTAAAAATGTAATTACATTTTTTTTTTAACCATTTTTCAATCCTTAATCGACGATATTTTTCATGATGTAAAAATAGTAAAAAATCATTTTATTGGTATTTTATCAAAGATACAGACTTCTGATTATTGACAGTTAATATTTAAATTAAGATTTTATTTCTGTGATTTATCTGTAATTTAACGAAGCAGAAAATATGTGTAAAATAACTTTACTAAATCATTTTTATTTCATTTTTAACATTTTTGTTCAATTTTATTTAAAAAAAAATAAAGTATACTGATGTTAACTTATATTAGTGTCCAGAGCCTCTTACCGATCTGCTCCAGCAGACTGGGTCCAGAGAACCAGGAGGTGAGCGCCGCCACGGTGCTCCTGGTGGCCAGGTTCTCCCCCGACAGGCCGCTGGTCGGGATGTAGAACACATCCGAGTCCTGCAGGAACCGACACCGGGTCAGTGGCGGAAACAAACAGAACAACAAACCCAGCAGCAGCAGCAGCAGCAGTCGGACTGGAGCTCACCTTGAATCCCGCCTGCTTCAGGAAGTGTCGCAGTTTCGAGGTGATGTCCTGGAAACGGTCCTGCTGCCAGTTCACCTGGTGGACAGAATCAAAACTGTGGTTCTGACTTGGTCCATTTAGTGTATCAGACCCTGTCTCTGTGGTTCTATGGTTCGGACCTGGTCCATCTAGTGCACCAGGCCCTGTGTAAGTGGTTCTGTTGTTCTGACCTGGTCCATCTAGTGTACAAGACCCTGTCTCTGTCGTTCTGTGGTTCTGACCTGGTCCATCTAGTGTACCAGACCCTATCTCTGTGGTTCTGTTGCTCAGACCTGGTCCATCTAGTGTACCAGACCCTGTCTCAGTGGTTCTGTGGTTCTGACCTGGTCCATCTTGTTCACGGCCACAGCCAGCTGAGTGACCCCCAGCGATCGGACCAGCAGCGCGTGTTCTCTGGTTTGACCTCCGGCTTCGAATCCGGCCTCGAACTCTCCTCTGCTGGCGTCCACCACCAGAACCGCCACGTCGGCCTGTAGGCGGAACCGGGCAGAGGTTAGAACCACCTGGTTCTGCTGCGGTCAGCAGACAACAGCCACACGCTTTGTAACGACGGTACTGGACCTGATGAAACCGTTAACTGGGGTTCTAATGAAATGATCATTTAGACCTGCTCCAGTTGTGATCAGGCCTTATGCTAAGCTATGCTAAGCTAAGCTAACTCCATATTNTCCTGTTTAGTCCAAACATCTTCAGTTTACTGTCACGGAGGAAAAGAAACCAGAAAACATTCACTGGAGAAGCTGAAATCACAGATTGTTTTCATATCGAAGCATGAAACTGATGAACAGACTGTCAGAGGAGCTGGAGGTGGACCGAGCAGTGAGTAGAACCTACGGGGAAGCCCTGCGTGATGGGAACCTCGATGTTGAACAGCAGGATTCTGGCTCTGAACCTGGTGCACGCTCTGATCGGCTCCTTCGGATCGCAGAACACACAACCGACGCTGGAAGGAAGGAAGGAAGGAGGCAGAGGGAGTCAGAGACAGAGTGAGAAGCAGCTCTAAGTGTCTACAGGCTGCACTAAGAGACACATGAAGCTCAGAGGGTCACAACCAGACAGGAGCAGAGCGCGTTACTTGATCTTGATGATGTCCATGCCGGTGACCGTCAGGCTGATGTGGTCTCCGGCGGCCGCCCAGTCCAGAGGCTCGTCGTGGAGGCTGATCCCTGCAGGACAAACACAGCGTGTTGGTCTCTGAGCCGCCAGCAGGTGGCAGCGTTCACCGCCGACGCCTCAACACGTGAAGAAACGCAGCCAGCGTGCAGGAGGACTAACGACACATTTATCACCATCTATCATCATCATCTACTGCTGGAAACGTAATCGATGTGTGAAAGTGAAGTTTACATATTGGAGTTATCTGAGGTAGGTTTTGGTACTTTCCCAGTAAAGGAAGGCTTTTAAAATATAGAATAAATCAGAACAAATACGACGTTAGATGGCAAACGTCCCACTTATGGATGTTTAACTGAAATAAAAATGAAAGAAGGGCAGAAAAATAAATCATCTCAACTAAAGGAAACGTTAAAAATCACAAAACTATGATGGAAAAATATACAGAACGTTTAAATTCTTCCTCTGAAGTTAGAGGAAGACGCTGGAGTTAAAAATATGGATGAAGATGGAATAAAAGGTTCAGCTCAGAGGGAATCCAGACGAAACTCTGGGTTTGTTCTGATTAAACGTGTCGATCAGAATCATTTTATTGATCCTGAGGAGAAACTTTTAACGTCTGATAATTAAAGCAGCAGAAAAAACACGAGATAAAAACGAGAAAATGACAAATATGTCCGAAAAAATATGAACAGAAAGTCTCAGCATGAAGGTGAACACAGAAGCTCACAGTGTAATAAATAATCAATAATAATATCAATACTAATGGGTATAAATGTGTTGCTGTGAATTCAGAGTCTGCGGTTGTGAATCACGAGTTTTTATAGAAATCAAACTACATCCGTGAGAATCCTGCGTTTTGCTGAATTTCGCTTAAAATAACGATGTTTCTGTCTTTACAGGGAATCAGTTGCAAAACTTTCCAAAGATTAAAAAGCTGATCTCACAGAAACACCAACGAGACTGAGGGTCTGAGTCACTGAGCAGCTTTCACACTGTGCTGAGATTTAAAACACCTTAATGTTCATTGAAAAAAACGTGTGTATATATAATATATAAAATACAGTATATATAAATGGTTTTAATGTGACGCTGTGATTTACATCCACTGCTCTCTTTAACCTGATGACGAGAATTTAATTATGAAGAGAAAATTCAGGGAAATATTAATTTTATTCTATTTTCTGTAATAACTTATTTTTCTGTAATAAATATTTTTTCTGTAAAAACNGAGGATGGAGGCTCAGAAACACCGAGTCCAGCTGTGGGGGAGGATGGATGGATGGACGTGAAGCTCTGACTCCACTCGTTGTCTCCGGCTGCCTTCAGAGTCCAGCTGCAGCCTTCAGACGTCCTCACTCTTTGATCTGCAGCGAACACAGAAGGTAGAAACACTTACAGCACCTTCAGGTTGTTCTGACCTCGTCACAGGGACACACCGTCGCTTTAAACCTTTAGTTTGGTGGATCAGAGACGTTCAGTTTAGTGTCACAGAGGAAAGAACCCAGAAACTCTTCAGCCGTTCAGCTCTACCTGCTGCCAGGTGTGCTCCTGTGTCTGGGCTCTACTGAAACATGTTCACAAACGTGTCCCAGAACACTTTAAACGTCACCTGAACGCCTCAGAAATGCTCCTAAAACCGTCCTAGTTACACAAAACCTGTCAAAAAATTCTCCAAAATGACAAAATCTTTCCCCTGAAACACAAAAACTTCTGAAGAACGACGACGGGTCATGAAAACGACTTCAGACTGCCGTTACCTCGGTGACGACGCCGGCGGCGATGGTGGAGCCGACGTATCGCAGCATGAAGCGGCCCAGCTCCTTGTAGTCCTTGTAGAGCTCCAGAGCCACCGGCCGCTGGGTCTGGATCTCCACCACCGCGTTCATGCCTTTACTCAGACACCTGCAAGACAGACACTGTTCATGTGGACCCTCGGTGCAGAACACAGAAGCTGGTTTCAGGCCGACAGCGACTCTCTGAAGCCGAGTGCTGCTCATTATTGTTTACATCAAACGTAGAAGCTGCAGGTCTCGTAACGTTCCTGGAGAACACAAGATGAACCTACTTGGGTTTCTTCTTGAGAACCTCTCCGCTGCTCTTGTGCAAAACGCTGACCAGCTTCCTGATGGTGGCGGGCTCGCTGACCGTCTGGTAGTGCAGCAGCACCTGGACACAGAACCAACAGAAGACTGAAACCAGGTCGTGGATGAGACGTAGAGCTCTAGCAGCCTGGTGGAGGCTAAACCAGACCATAAACAGCTACAACATGAGCACAGAGGCATTACATCGACACATGAACAGAATAACCAGAAAGACAAACACACTGATGGAAAACAGAGAGAATCGACACAAAAAGACGTGAAATGACTTTAATAAAAACACCAGACGATGAGTTGATCGTTTTCTGGACCGACTGATTATCGAGCTGTTTGGTATTACAAACATAAATCAATAAAAGTGGAAATAAAAAGAAGAATAAATTAAAAAAAATAATAATAATGTGGCAATATAAAGCAATATTAATCAAAAATGAATCCATTAAAAAAAAAGGCTAGTAAAAGTAGAAATATAAAGACAAATAAATAAAATAATAAAATAATAATCATTTATATATTTTTATTTTTCTACTATTTTTATTTATTTGAAATTTATTTTTAAATGTTTTTATTTGTTTTATTTTTATTATTTGTTTTGTTTTTATATTATTTTTTAATTTTAGTTTTTGTTAAATTTATTTTTTATAATGTCGCTTTAAAAGCAAAGGAACTATGCACAGAAAAACGACAATCCTACTGCGCACATTTAGAAAACAGTCACAAAATAAGAAGCTGACAGCAATAATCTCTGCACACTGATTTATTTTACAGTTTTCCTACAACTTGATACTACAGACGTGAACGTTTGTACTAAAAGCCTTTTTTACAGCTGACATGTTGATTGTTATAATAGAAAAAAAGTAAAAGTGATGCTCATATCAACATTATATAATTTATCATATATTATAATAATAATA